CAGCTTCCAGCCCCGTGGCTTATAAAGGGAAACAAGATCAAATAATCCTTCATCACAGAATGACTAATGCGGACTGCAGGCGTGTGGCAGAGACAGGACACGTGTGACATCATTCCCAGGAAGAAAGGGGGGGCCTGTCTTCTCAGGGTCGTCAGTCATTCTATGACTCAGAAGGCTCCTCGCCTGGAGACCGGCGCTGTGAACTTGTCCATCTTATTGTCTAGGCCAGTGGTTGGGAAACTGCGGCTTGCGAGCCACATGTGGCTCTTTGGCCCCTTGAGTGTGGCCCTCCCACAAAATACCACGTGCGGGTGCGCATGTACAATATGATTGAAACTTCGTGGCCCATGCGCAGAAGTCGGTATTTTGGGGAAGAGCCACACTCAAGGGGCCAAAGAGTTGCATGTGGCTCGGGAGCTGCAGTTTGCCGGCCACTGGTCTAGGCTCAAGCTAGTCTGACTTCTGCAAAGTTCTGGGGAAAACAACCAAGGGTTTCTCCGAGGACAATCCAATGCCTGCCACCCCAAGAACCTCAAGGTTCACCGGAGCAGGTGTGTGAAGCTGGCCGGAGCGCTCATCACAGGTTCTTGTGAATCCTGGATCCCCGAGTAAAACGTCCTTATTTTACGTGAGGAGTGTGTACTCTGAATGACGATGACCAGCGTGGGTACAAACAAGAGTTGTTCTCACAACACAGGTATCCCTTCCCTTTCTCCTTGAATTATTTTCAGAACACTGACTTAGGAAATTATTGTTTTTGTGAGTTTGCATCACTAATGAAGTAGATTTTCTGTCTGATATGAAACTTACTGAAATCAGCACTCTGATGACAATTTAGAGCTCGAGTTTGACTCTACTGATGTGAAAAAACCCCAGACATCAACAACATGCAGAATCTAAGGCCGGAATGGAAATGAAGGTCTTGTAAGAAGGGAAGTGAGGGAGAAATGACAGGGTCACAGCTGTTTCCAATTCAGGCAACACAAAGTGGAAAAGAACACGCCAGCCAGGTGCGTCACCCAGGTGTGCCAGGCCAGGTGGGCCAGCGAGGTGGACTGTCCACCTGCCACACCTCCTCATGAAGTTCAGGACAAGGGCACTGGAAAGACCTTGGCTCAACTGGGGCCACGACCTGATTCTTACAGGTGCACTTAGGCATCCCCCCCGCACACACCTTTGTCAGCAGGAATGCAAGCCGTGCCCTCACGGCTGCTCCCGTGACAAGCAAGATGAATGGGCTGCGATGCTGAGCTGTGGAGCCCCGAGGCCCGAGCTCTTTCTCATTATCCCTCCACTTTTCTATCAAGGTGCTCCCTGGGGCTCGCATTTAAGTCCACAGAACAGGCTGCCCCTCGCCGGCCCGACCGGAATCCAGCTAAGTGTCACAAAACCACGGGACAGTCATATGTATCCCCCAGGGAAGTCGGGCACCCGGGGCTGTTTCAAGGTCTGCGGTAGACAAACTTCCCAGAGAAACAAAAACAGACACCACGGAGGCGCTTCGGAGGTCTTGCTTTTCACTACTTTAGTCTGATTTAAACGTTTCAGGTTGTCTTTGCAAAATCTCAGGTGGAGTTGAAGGAGCAGGTGAGCTGGTGGGTGCTAATGGGAGGGTGACCACTTTGTCCCTGGGTGCCCGGGACTCAGCACCGAAGTCCTGTGGCCTGGGCAGCCGAGGGGCACCCTGCTGGGAGCACTTCGTTGTTTTGGGTGAGCTTTCCACCTGCCATCTCACTGGGGGTAGGCTTTATTTCACGTCACATCAGCATTTTGAGAGAGAAAGACGAACCTCGTGAACTGGGTTCTTCTGGTAAGTTTTCATCTGTCCACGTGACTGGCGTCCCCCAACAGCTCTAACTTTGAAATAGGCTTTTCCTTAGAAGCCCAACTGACTCCTTTAGCTCCGTTGCTAAGAGTTTTGGGTAAAAATTTCAGACTCGCCTACTCTTTAGGACTATGAAGCGACCTTTTATAAGACAGCACCATCCAACTTCCCACCCAGGAAAGGATCCTTGCCCAGATCTCCAGACACTGTGCAGCCAGTGCTCAATGTCCCTGACAGGCACCACCTCCAAGGAGGGGCCTTGTCGTGTGCAGAGGGATGGACATGTGACCTGAACCTCCTGGGCTCCAGCTTCTGACAAGGGGGCAGCCCAGGTGCACCCCAGACAGCTGGTGAACACATTCGGCGAGAGACACAACGCTGCGGACGTGTAGGCTCTCTGAGGGCATCCCCCACTCAGCACCGCTGAAATGCTCGGCGACCCTGCCCCACCGTGCCCTGTGGCTAGCGTGGGGACCCACTGTGGAACCACTGATCTTTAAGACAGCCGGGGTTGAAAGCCACCGGCACAGCTGCCTCCTGTGCCGTGTCTCCTCCTCTCTGCCCACAATGCAGGAGGTGAAAGCAGAATCGATGAAGGCTGACGATAAAGGTTACACCACCTCCCCAGCTCCCCACCTCCGAGTGATTCTTATCATTCGTGGATTCAGCCGCTCCCTTAGGCAGCTCTGTACCTGCGTCCATAACTTTAGCCCCAGGACCCTGGTGTTGACTGGATTGCACTTTGCAATGACGTGGGCTCCTGCTTGCCATGTGATTATGTAACGAAGCCCCACGGTGCTCCTTTTCCACATTCCAATAATATCCGTGCACGCGTACAGAAAGAAGGACGGGCCTGGCAAACACCAGGGCATCCAAGACAAAGCCTGTGCGGAAGGCTTCTGAGGGACTGATGGTGATTACATAAGCCAGAGGCTGGACTGAGAAGTAAGGAGGCCCTATCCCTCCCACAGGCATGTTCTGTACACACAGCTGTTGCCACTTTTGTCCTTGGCAGGAAGCGGCCAAGGTCCCTGTGGCCAGGCCTGGGCTTAGCGGGTGACAGTGAGGGGCCTTGAAATGCATCATCACTCAGATCTCATCTTTTACTGCCCAGTGAGTCCAGCAAGAAGAATGTTTTGCTTTCACTTCTCTCTCTAAATGGCACAGAGCAACCTGGTCAACAATTAGACCTTTGCTCTCTCACGGGGTTTTGGGAAGAACTCAGCCAGGAGAGGGCAGCCCTCACCCCGCCTCCCCCCCCCCCCCCCCCCGCCTGTGCAGCAGCGCTGGGGAGAGAACCCCGAGAAGACTGTGCTGCTGTGGGGTTCTGATGGGCAGGGGCTGGGGCAGAGGGGCTGGAGACCTGGACGGGCAGCACCGGTCTGAGGCAGGCCACCTGGAGAAGCAACCCGACTCTCGTCCCCAAATAAACCAAGCACCAAGGAATTTCCTCGGTCTCCTTGAGAACGTGTACCTGGGAGGTTCCCACCACCATCAGAAACATGTCAGGGATGCTGATAGAACTCCTGGTTTCCAGCGCGGCTCCGAAAGGTGAAGCCACTGCTGCAAGACAAGGGGGCAGTGCACCCAGCAAGGACGCCACTTGCTACCTGTCACGTTGGGAAACATGTAATTTATTTTTAAGGTAAACGTTCACGAGGGTGCGGTGGGAAAGTCTCCTCTGACATATCGCCAGAGGAGATAAAACCAATATTCTTCCCAGGAATTTGGCAACATACACCCAAAGCACAAGACGCAATTCAGGAGGCCAGCTGCTAGGGACGTGTCAGAGGGAAATGGACACGGGCCCCGAGGTGGACAGAAGACGCTGATTAGCTACTTGGTAAAGATAACTCAAAGTGCATTTATTTGCCAAATGGCCCTTTTGGAGATAGTGTTAAACCAACCAGGATGTACCTGCACGACGGACATTCTATAACCACTAAGAATCGGGGCACACAGCCCATTTCCTTGCCGACATGCGAAAGCACGTATGATTCATCATTGCCTAGGAGTGGGGGCCAGTTAGCTTACACAGGTGCCCGCATGCTCGTGGAGGGAGAAGCACGCTCCCAAAATGCTAGTGGTCATGTTCTCCAGGTGGTATTTTGGGGTGATTTTCATTTATTTCAATCTGTTTATTTCCAACTTCTTATCAATAACTGCGCAATTTTAAAAGTATTTACCTTTTTAAATGAAAAGCTTAACACAGTGATGCAATCAATTAACCAGCTAACACTATATATTAGAATCTATATATTTATCTGAATCAAGACAGATGCACATGCAAGGTTCATGGAATGTGCTGCTATGGGACTAACACCCCATCTTCTGCCTTTATCAGGGTCCCCAAAGAAACTCACTGTGGGTAGAATGTCTGCATTTCCCCCCAATAATAAGATTACTTCTGTTTTTCATCTCATATAAATCAACAATATAACAGATTTTATTAACACAGACAGAAAAGCTTCTCTTGCCTTAGGAACTGGGATGTGTTCTTATTTTTTGGTTGATCCTCACCCGAGGATATTTTTCCATTGAGATTTTAGAGAGAGTAGAAGGGAGGGGGGGACACAGAGAGAGAGAGAGAGAAACATCAACATGAGAGAGAAACATGGATTGGTTGCCTCCTGCATGCGCCCCAAGGGTGTGCGGATCAATCCTGCAACCGAGGTACATGCCCTTGACCGGAATTGAACCTGGGACCCTTCAGTCCACAGGGTGATGCTCCAACCACTGAGCCAAACTGGCTAGGGCATGTATTCTTATTTGACAATAAAAACCGAGTCACAGATTGCGTTTAACTTATTTTGACCTCAGCTGCTCAGAGCGAACCCTAGGCTCCTATGCACGTGTGCCCCTTATTCTCGGTTCTCAGAGAGACAGTCTCTTCCCCCTTCCTCTCTGACTACTTGCGCCTGTCTTTGTACTCTCATCTGTGCCTTCCACTGAGATTCTCCGTAGAATTAATTAGAGAGCCACAGTGGACCATTCAGGAGAGGGAGAGAGAGATGCGTGGTCGGACATCATGAGGGACATTACTCATCTTATGGTGGAGCAGGACCAGAGCCGACTTCAATTCAGAGACGGGGCTTGACCGCCGTGAGCACCCCACCCCACCCACAGTATCCACGCTGAGGCGGCGCCTGCCAGCGCTCTGAGGGGCGACACTCACGTGCAGACTGGGGTGATAGGTGAGCACACCGTTGTCGCACAGGGTGACGTACTTCTTCTTCCACTCTTTGTTCAACGATTTGCCGCTTCGCTTCAGCAACATGCCCTGGGAGGAACAGGGAGCCAAGGATAAATTAGTAAGGTCATGTGTGGACTCTAAAAAATTTTACACTTTCATTTTAACTGCCATCTTAAAAGGAAAGTACACTTATTTTTAGCTCAGTGATTTGGTTTTCTCCTCTTTTATATACAACGTATATATTCGGCCAGACTCCTTTGGTGTGGATGTGCCTGTTGAACTTGAGATGGTGATACTGATGCTAAGAGATGTAACACAAACGGCCGTGATGCGCAACAGTGTACCTTTCTTATTCTAAGCCCACAGGAACACCTACAGGAATGTCTTACAAAAGGACACCTAAATTCCCCTTTCTACAAATAAGACATTAACTGTATTCTTACCTTACGATCTTGGCAAATGAGAACATTTTATTTTGAATTTATTAAAAATGAAATTCCATTTGCAAACACAGCGAGAGCATTTAACAGATGAACTGTGTGTAATTTACTTGAACCCATTTCTAATGAAATCATATTAGGGGCCCATGAAAAGCATTCAAACTTGGACACTCTCACAGTGAAGCTCCAATTTTCCTTCGATGGTGATGAGAATGGATTCTTGTTTTAACTGCCAATTCCCAGCAAAGCTGGGACCTTCCCTGGGTCAGGAAGCCCAATGGCCAGCACCGACCCCTGCCGGGCCCACGACCTTGACTTCCCACGTTCCTTCCCTTTGGGGCTTCACGCCTGCCTCGCTCAGGCAATGTCAGCTTCAGCTCTCATCTCTGGTCTCCTGCCTCCTGCCCGCTTACAGCAAGGAGAACGGAAGGCCCCCGTCCTCGCTCTTCCTCTCGCTGCCCAGGTCTGAACTCACAGGATCGTAATTCTGACTGAGAAAGCACTGATGCTCGTTAACTCACCGGACGGAGGCTGAAGGGACGCTGTGGGTTAAGAAACAGGGTTTGACACCCTGAAGAAGCAGAGGTGCCCTTGAGTGCCCTTGGGAGCTGCACTGCCTCCTAATCCTGCTACTCCCCCAGGAACCACAACACGGGGGGGAAAAATCAAGCAAGCATCTTTATGTGATAATTAAGTTCAAGGTCCAATTAGTTACCAGCACTGTGACAATACTTTTTTTATGCCAAATGTCACAAATAGAATGAATGGATTGTGAGCTGGTTTGGGACTCTGATCACCATTTAAATATTGTTTCTGGGGGAAATATCAAAAAGTTGGAAGCAACTAACAGTGAACCTTTGGTTCTTGACTTTTTTGCAAGTTCTTATTTTTAAAAAACAAACATGTGGCAAAACATGGCATCCCTTGATTTCTGAGAATCTAAACGACACGTGGCCCCGAGACCAACGAGCAGACAGGCCCCAGGAGGCGCGGCTGCAAACCAAGGGGTGCAACTGCACTGCGTGAACCAGGAAGAGCCCCTGGGACGGGGCAGTCACACTAGGGACGTGGTAATAAACATGCAGTCGCTCCAAATCATTACACTGCCCTCCCAGGGGGACGGTACGATCTCTAAACTCAGCATCGAGAAGCCTGCCCCCAGTTTTGCCGTGGGTTCCATCCTTCCCGGCCCAGTGCAGAGCGAATTCCACCACCACCAGGGCCCGGGTCGCTGCAGTGTCACTGGTGGCTGAGAGCTGCTGGAGCTTCAGAAAGCCCTGCCACTCCCACTCCAGGAAACGCAGGCCTCACCCCAGGGCCCCATGTGGAGGCCCGCTGTGGGCGCTGCCCGGAGCCAACCCCACACCCACAGGCCTCCTCTCCCCAGTGAGGGCTAGAAGGACATACTGCTTAAGGGATAAAGAGAACATTCCAGCCGGGAGATGATGTGAGCAGGTGACGTCAGAGGGGAACTAAAGCAGGCTGCCTTGTTGTGGTGTCAGGAAAGCATAATCTCTTGGTGAAAGACAGTCCAAATCTTGACAATCTTAATTCTATGGTTCCCGGTGGAGGGTCACCTCGATTACGTGTACTATTCAAACGCTGTGAAAGTCAGCGGGGCCCGAAGGACAGCCTGGCACCCAGGAGCCGCATTTCCGCTCTCCACCCTCAGCCAAGCCGGTTTATACCCAACCTCTTCCCTGAACCCCCAAAAGACGGTAGAAACTGAGCGTCGGCCGCCCCGTCCCCAACATCACAGCTGCTCTGAGCTCAGGTGCCAGCTGCCCGCTGGGCCAGGCCAGAGGCACGCTTCCTTGGATGCCTGAACGCTAACACCGCTGACGTGTTTCTACACATCACTTGCTCCCCATATGCAGCAGGTCAGGGTAGCAGAGCTATGCGGTTCCTCGGTGCAGACAAGACTGAGCCACACAGGTAAAGTCACTGTTAGCTGACGGGCAGCGCCAGGCCCAGCCATCCTGCCCTTTCCATCCACTGCACTGTGCTACTCTCCTCGGAACACAGCATCCCCCAAGGTGCCCAGGGAAGAGAGTGAACCATGGCCTGCCCTGGGACAAACATTTACCGATGCGACCAGGACAGGGCCTCGCTGAGTCAGACTGAGGCCCCATGCTTCTGTCCTCCTGGACTTACACAGTTTTTCTCTTAAGAACCAAGAAAATGGAAAACTCTAAAACAGCTCATTTTAAACTCTGAAAGGCTGTGAAGCTGCCATCCCACCAGCCAGAAGATGACAGAGGCCAGGAGGCTCTTTGCCGCAGACACTGCGGGCAGTTCCCTTCGGCCTGTGGAAATGGCCCTTATGATTCTAAGTCTCTTTGATCTCGTGTGACCCAGGGCAAAACTGCACGGCAGAATGTCACAACGCATCCGTAGTCTATCCCTCAGATGCCACTTTAGAACATGTAAAACCGATCTCCTGCTTAAGACTGTCCCTGACCCGCCATCACAGTGCAGACATTAATTATAGTTAATGCTTTATTTGACTCTCATGTGACTTACACATCTGTTTGTAAACTTTTAAAATTTCAAAACAATATTGGGTTCATTGCGAGCCAGGGGATGCTCTAAGAGCCTTAAAGTATGAACCTGCTGCAGGCTTATAGCGGACCTGATGGTCATGGCTAGGATTATCCCCATTTTACAGATGAGGCCACTGAGGCACAGAGAGCTTATGTAACTACCCCCAGCACGCACAGCCAGCCTGGTAGCTGGTCTCAAGATGGCTCCCAATGCACCATGAGTTGTGGTATTCGTGGCCCTGTGCAAATCATCCCACCCTGACTTGGAAATGCCCAGACTCACATTAACCAACAGAACCAGAGGGAGTGATGCTACCTACACCAGGCTGGAACCTACAGAAACCCTGGCAGCTCCCCTCTGGAGAGCTCTGTTGGATAAGCCTTGCTGTGCTCTGTCCATAGTCCTGAACCACCAAATTAAGATAAATAATAAAATAAGTTTTCTCAAATCAGTAAGTTTTGGGGTAGATCCTTAGGCAACAATAGATAAGAAAAACAGAGCTAGCATCCTGTATTGCTGTAATAAAAATAAAAACCACAGGCTTGGCACCAGCGCTGGCTGAGGCTGGTGAGGACGTAGCTGCAGTGGAGGCTGGAGGGGCGTGAGAAAAGTGCTACCCAAGGTTGGAGACGGAGACGGAGCCGAGTTGTGCTCTGGCTAGCAGAACGGTCCCAGGCCTGCTGCCCGCGGGGATGCCCAGCAGCCTGGCTGCTGGCTCCAGTAACCCCGGGGAGAGTTTCCAAGCAGGACCAGAAAAAATGTTTCCAATTTAAAAGTCATGCTGGGCTGAACCATGAGAAAAATCATCTCTGGCCCCCAGCTTCTCCTGCCAGTAGAACTGGCCTGAGGATGAAGATCAAATCCAGGGGGTGTCAGTAGATGTGACATCAGAATACAGACTCCGCCAAAGGTCTGGCAGCCGGACACGCTGCCCCATGAGAACGCAGCAGGATTGAGGGCAGGAACGCATGGACCCTTCCAATAGAGTTTGTATATTAGAGATAAGGAGCTGTGGATGGGCTTGTCTAATGAAATGGACGGTCATTGGATACAAAGGACACCCACAAGATATTTAAAGGAATTATATGCCATGTATGACTAAATGGTACAACGTTCAAAATGAATCTTTTCACTTTAGGCACTTGACCTATATGGAGCAGGAGGCAGGCTGAGAAAGCCACACAGATGTGACAACAGGCCACACCTTATGGAAAAGCAAGGCCAGCCCAGACAGCAGAGCCCAGGGCAAGGGAGGATGCCCCGCCCCCGCCCCGAGCAAAACACACTCCCTGTGACCAGAGCAGGGTAGGGTAGAACATGTGCCCGGTGGGCTCAGAGGTGCTGTGGGCCACAGGTCACCTGTCTGTGTTGGCATTGTGGCACTGTGTGCGCGCGCAAGGTAACTCGGCTCTCAAGCTCCCTGGTCTTCAGATGAAAGCATCAGAGCTGAGCAGCCTCATCCACACATGCACCTGATGCAGACAGTGACCCTGAGCTTCCAGTCTGAGCTGGATGCTGGGATGAGACTGTGAATCTGGAGACGGGGGGAGGGTATTCTGCATGTACGAGGTCAGACGGAAGTAGCCAGTCTCCAAAGATGACCCTCAAAAGCCCAGCTCCTGGGTGTGGTCCTGGGCCCTATGCCCATTTAACCAATGGGATGTGGTGAAATTACGCTGTGACCACTCCGGCCAAGGCCTTCAGAGGCCTGGCCGCTCCTGTTTCCATGCGTTGGGAGCCCAGCAGACTGTGAGAGATCAGAGGAGGGTTCTGCTGCAGAGACTGGCAAGAGAGAGACCCTGAGGTACACCGAGGGGCACTGAGCTCTCCTGTCAGGAGCACAGAACTGCCGCTGACCGGCCGACATCAAACACGTGAGAGAGGAAGTGACCCTGGACACTCTGCCCTGGAAGGCACCTTGGGAAGCAGACATGTGCTGGCCCACACTCCCTGCCCACAGACTCCTAAGAGATAACGAGATGGCGATGGTTGTAAACCACCATGTGCGGGCTTATTACCAGCGACACTAAACATGGCGGCAGGAGAGCAGGTGGTTGCACCTCCAGACCAACTTTCAAGGTTTAGCATCTTTCACTTGTTTGC